CGTAGAATAATAACCTCGTCATTGGCATCGTATAGGCAGCAGATGTATACGGAACAGGGGAAGGAGTTCCAGTTGTCTGCTGTGCACCTGAGTACGGTGGAGCCATTGTTGAGGGTGGTCGATAAGGCTGAAACACGCCCATGTGAATGGGGAAACGCGGGTCAGTAGATGATTCCTACCTGATATTGCTGTTGCTGCTGATGCTGTTGTGCATAATAGTCATTCGACGTGGGCTGCGATGGGATCTGAGGAGTCTGATACTGAAAACCAGATAACCTTTCGTAAGAACATATGGAAGGAAAATAACAACATAAAGCTTTTTTCCAACATACACTTTGCTGCACAGAAGCTGGAGATGGTGTGGCTGCATGACCATGGTCATGGCCATCATGAGAATGAGAATGTCCATCATGAGAGTGAGAATGTCCGTCAGCGAGACCATTAGAAGTTTGAGGCTGAACCATTGGAGTTGACGTGGACAATGGTGTAAACACAGGTGGTGGTGCAGGAGGAAATGAAGCAGGAGGTGGTGCAAAGCTGCTAGGTGGTGGGATGTTGACAGGAGCAGCAAACTGGCTTGGATCAGGGAACGACGATGGCGCGGGTGGTTTGTTCACCTGAAATCATATTTTGAAATTCAGTTAACTGAAAATGGCAGCGTATACAATCAAGTACAACGTCTGAAAGCAAACTTTCTTCTCAGACGGAACAAAAGTCTTATCTTTAACCATGGTTCTGCATGTGAAAAGTTCACTAAAGTCTAACCTGATCAATTTGTGGAATTCCAGTATTGCCTGGTTGCGGTAGTTTAGCGGGCTGTGTAGCGATAACCTAAAGTTAAAGTTTGCTTTCTCATGCAAATTAAGAGCTGGTAGAACATCAAGAGTTCTTCTATTAAAAAGTACCCACCGGAGCTGGAATTGGGGATTTCGAGCGATCTACCGAGATCGGGATTCGATGAAGATATCCGTAACCGATATCACATCCCAAACACCCTTCTCCTCCCCAAGCTGAGTTTGGTGTTAGGCTTACCTAAAATTACCAAACTG